TGTGAAGGGACCAGAGCTCTGCACAGCACTCTGCGCTGACCTGCTCCATGAATTTGCCAGGGACTGGGGCGAGGCTGACTGGCCTGTAGTTCCCCGGATCCTCCTCCTTCCCTTTTTTAAAGATGGGCACTACCTTAGCCTTTTTCCAGTCATCTGGACTTGTTTCCTTTGCCCCTCTGGCTGACTCAGCATCTTCCCTCCCTGGCATGGAAGGGTGAAAGGCTCAGCCCTGCAGCAGTGGAGGTACCCTACGTGCAGCCTCCAGAATAGCTTTCCTCCATTTTGTGCAGCCAAAGTGGTCCTGTGCCAATATAGCATCTGCATCCAACACCAAGCCAGGGCAGGATCCAGAGCCAGGATTCCACAGCATTGATGCCTGCTAGAATTGTGGCATTCCTGGTTATAAGGAATTCCTCTTAGAACAAGACCTCAAATGATGTGAATGCCTGCGGACACTGGGCATGCAGGAAGAACGGTCTGGCCTTTCCCCTCACGGGAAGGAGGAATCAGCGCCCTGCTCGGGAGGTCGTGGTGGATCTAGCTGGCTTTGCTGAAGCTGCTGGGTCTAAAATGAATTGTCTCTTGCTCAGTTCCAGGCTCCCCCACCGGGATAAAAGCCTTCCCATCTTCTGCCAGCAGCATGGTCGTGTCCTGGCTTCCCCCCAGCTAAGTCGAACAGGATCATCCGGAAGTACACCATCTTCTACTCCAGCCCTGGGTCCGGACAGCCGGTAAGTAGGACACGAGGAAGCGTGGGTGATTGGGCGGGTGCTTGGCAGTGAGGAATTAACTTTTCTGCTCAGAAGAGACTGCATGCATCCCTGGAGGGCATGCATGAAAACACCCTGGCCCCCCACCCCCAATATGCACCCCCAGCTAGCAGAGCCGCCTTGGGCTGCCTAGCAGCCTGGCATCAGATGTGGTAAACGGGCACACTGGGCTTGCCGTAGGAGGGAGCTGGGAAACTTTCAGCTCAGTGCTCAAGGGGTCAGAAAGCACCTGGGGGCCCCTCAGCTACACGAGCTAATGGGTCAAATGGAAATGCAGGTGGGAAAGCCTAGGCGCCTTCTCACACTCCTAGCTGTCACCCCTTGTTTATTTAACAACCTGCCCCACTAGAGTCAAACCCAGGGCACAAGTCCCTGCCACTCGACCTAAACAAGTAACTGTTCGCAGATAGGAGTAGTGGGCTGTTATCCTCTGCATGGACCATCCCGAGGAAGGGGACATAACATTTGTCTAGGATTTTGCATTTATTGCCTCTTGCTCATCTGACCCTATGCATTCCTAATGCTCATAATCTAAAGGCACCTCTTAGCAGTGATAGCAGAAGCCCACTGCCCTGAGTATTGAAGCGAATCAGTTGTTTTTACGACGGATTAGTGTATTTCTTGAGCATTGGTGGATGTTCTGAATGCCCCACAGATGGTTTCTGTCTTAGACTCCCCTCCACTTGTACATTTATTGCTGTGGTGTCAATGGTTTATGGGTGTAAACTCAGCACTGGTGTCAGGGATCACTTGTGCTTTTAAAAAGCAACCAAGTCACAAGATACATTTTAAGATGTCTCCTGTACGGTCCCCAGTCAGTGCAGCCTGCAGGCACTGAGCCCCTCCTGGCACAGTTTCTGGATGGGGGATTTATCCGGTCCTGGGGAATTCTCCAGAGCGGAGGCAGTCTTTTGTTTGTTCTACTTAGGTGACATCTTCAACAAACAGGCCCTGGTGTCCCGTGCAACAGCATTTCTTGTGTTTAGAGCTTTGTCTTCTTGCAGGAAACTTGTGGGCAGAAAGAAAGGGGCCAGCGCACGTGTGTGAGAGAGAGCAAGATAGCACACACATTTGCGGGGGTGAATGTTAGTCCTCAGTAAGACTGTGAGGCTGAGCGGAGAGCCAGGCACACAGCAGACAAGGGCTGCATCAGCTGCCCATCAGCCTTGACCTGCAGCATCCCCATTATTCCAGAGAACACTGTTCCTCCCTCCCAAGCTCTGCTGGTGCCCCAGAGTCCTGATCCCCAGCAGCCCCTGGTACCCCAGTTCTGACTCTCCGCTCCACAGGCTGCTAATTATTCTGAAATGGGCAGAGCTGAAGGACGCCCTCCCCCTACAGAAATCACTCACCCTCAGCCCCTTCCCCAACGTGAACTCACTTGAATTCCTACTTCTAGAGGTGAGAAGCCCAGACTGTTTGATAGGGCTGCCCTTCCTCTTCCATTGCACAGCTCCCTGACTGCAGGCCAGGCAGGGAGATGTGCCATGTAGTGGAGGGAGCTTCTCTTAAACTAGTAGCATCAAGTTGAAAAGGAATAGACCAACTCCAGGAGTGAGAGGAGGAACCTTTCAAGAACTGAGCTGGGATCCCAGATCACTTCTAGTGTAAGGAGAAAACGGAGGAACCTGCCCTACCACCGTACATCTGCCCTGACATTTCCAAGGAGCCTGGCCTGTGGAAGATTCAGGCTCCTTGCGTCTGGTATCAATCCGCCCCAGGTCTGTGCTACCTGCAGACACTTCCACTTCATCTACCATGCCTGACTCTGTCTAAAACAAGCTGCTTAGTGGATTCATGTTTTATAGATTTTCATGTTCTGTTGTTTACAAACCTCGTTGGAGTAAATATCTGAGCGATGTTCCAGCTGCAGGTGTGTGTCAGGGAGGCCGTGTCAGGCAGTGTGAAAATATCCCACTGAAAGCAAAACAACTCGATACCGCGCCTCAGAAATCAGAGGAGATAGCCCAGCTGCTCCCGTCGGGTCCATCCTACTGGGTCAGTGCGGGATTGGTTCTTGCTATGTGTGGGATGTGGGTTTCTCCATCTTGTCTCTCGGGAACTTCCTTAGGGGACACGGTTGTATAAAATTTCCTTTCATAAAATCATAGAATATCAGGGTTGGAAAGGCTGAACCCCCAGCCAGAGCTCTCCCCCCGCATCCCAACCCTCTGCCCCAGCCCTGAGCCCCCTCCTGAACCCCTCATCCCTGGCCCCACCCCACATCCCAACCCTCTGCCCCAGCCCTGAGCCCCTCCCACACCCCAAACCCCTCATCCACAGCTCCACCCCAAACCCCTCAGCCCCAGCCAGAGCCCTCACCCCCCCACCCCGCCCTAACCTGGGCCACCTTCCACAGTCCG